GAGGTTGTTTTACTTTTGACCCCATGAAATCCTTAAAAAAGACCTAAAACATAAAAAATGAAAAGGAGTCTAGGCGTATTAGACCATATCAAGTTTAAAGTCAATCCTCCGGGAAATGAAGCAATGAAAGTCGATTAAAAAGTGTTTGGAAGAAGAAGAAAGGAAGATGTAACAATAGAAAAAAAGTATGTCTCTCTGCAGATAAGTAATGACATAATGATAAATGCACACACAAGCCTTTAGACATGATTTTCTAAATAAGTATTAGAATTTTATATATTAACCTGAAAGTCATATGGCAAAACCTGTTATGTGAATTAACTTGGTAATCATCTCTATATATAAGCGCGAATGTCTCTCTATCTCTCTCTGTGGGCCTGTCCCTTATGCAAGACCACATCTTTAAAGCTACAAACTCTAAACTCGGAGTACAGATACAACTTCGTGCGGGAACTAACATGGACTATGTGGCCACGGTTTCAGAGGCCGCATGTTGAAGCCAAAGTGACCAATATAGTAATTTTGGCAAACCCGATGACCAAATGGTCTCAAATTGAAAAGGCCGGATTTTTTGGTAATGTGTGATGAAGAGGGCTGGCTATTACTTGCGATTCTTCTCTGTGTGAGGACTTCTCCTAATTATTCTATTCAAAATCAATTATGTGTTAAAAAGATTTAAAAACTTCGTGGAGCCTTCATTTGTGTCTTTGCTCATTCTCTCTTTGCTCTTTCTCCCTCTCTCTACTCTTTTCCTACCTCTCTCTTTCTTCTGTCTCCCAGTGGGAAAGCGGTAAGTCTTCGGATTTACAATGCTCAAATCAGGGGTTCCATTCCCCTAGGTGGACACAGCAGATAGCCTAATGTGTCTTTGCTATAAGAAAAAAAACGCACACACTGTTTCTTCTACACACACATGCCTACTCTTTAACTATCTTTAAAAAAGGCTAGTGCTTTCTCTCGAACATGCACACAAACTCCCTCAACTAAATAGATATGTTTCAGCTATATCTTTTGCTTTGCTTTCGTGTACTCGCAAGAATAAGCTATACGATGACTTTACATAAACTTTTGGTATCGGCAAATTTTCATTTACCTTGTGTTGCAACGAGAAGAAAATAAATCAATTCTTCATTAAATGAAACTATAATAAAGTCGGAATACGCTGATAACGACACTTGACCACACAGCAGAAATCAGGACACCAAAGTAGGGTAGTTTGTTTGGGTAATTAGAAATGTCATGTAACGCACATGCTTTGATTAAAATAGCTTTAGCCATTTTTCCTTTTTTCACACATTGTTATTCTTATTGATTTTAATCAAAGGATTTAGTTAGGTAAAGAAATAATTTAGATTTTTTTTTATTTGAAAAAATTACGATGAAAATGGTTCATTTAATAAAAACAACTCAGGATATTTAAAATTAAAACCATTTTCATCAGAGCTACGCTGGATACTCTGCTAGTTCATAATAAATGGAGTTGAGTTGTATACATCTTTCAATTTTAAACTTCGAGGCAGAACTAAACTGTGGTCTATTAGTATCACTATTAGAAAGGTGTTGTGTGCTGTTTCCAAGTGTTTTGTTATTGCATACTTAGAAACATTAATACATCTAGACATCTCTACATGTTAGTTTGTAAATTATGTCAATATCTGGTACTTTTCCGTTATACCCCGCAATTTTAATAATTTTTTAAGATATATAAATACATGACTATATAAGTATAATATATATATATATATAAATATGCATTTTATTCATATAGTACAGTAAAATTCCATGATAAATTTCTAAAAATATATGAATAAGCATTGTATTCATATAGTGAAAACTTACCATTTGCGGGGTTTAACGGAAGAGTATCCAATATTTACTTATTTTCTCAATCTCCAATTAGCTATTTAAGTTTTAAGAGAAAAGGACAGGCGCAGCTGCTTATGTGCCACTTACACGTAATAGGCTTAATTCACATCATATATTTTTGAGAGTAATATATGTATATTTTTTATTTATCCTATAAAAATAAAGGATAACAAATTGCGCTTTTTCGCTGTAAAATTCAATTCAATAGTTAGAAAAATCAAACTTTGCATCACTTTTATTACATATCATATTTGAATTGTACTGTTTTGGCTCAGTTATTCATCAAAATAGTGTGTATTTTGAGTTTTTTGACGAAACTAAAACTCAAAATATATATGTGTATATATATACTTGTCACAATATTCAAACCTCATTCTGTGTAGCAGAAACAAAATTTATCAAGATATTTATACATGATGTAATAAAAAGTACACAGCAAAGAATTTGAACAAATTAGATTCTTGCAAAAATTCTAACTATGCTATACTCGTATATATAACTTAACATTATGGACAACAGTGACCATTTTATCCTTCGAGTTTGTCCCTGTACCTACACCTCAGAGAAAATGTAAGAATTTAAAACCTACTTTTATTTTACAGGAAATCGTTAATTTCTGTCTTTAATTCTAGTCAGTTATTTTTTCATGTTACTGATGGCAAATTATTCCATAAGCTAATCACTCTTATCCTAACAGTCTGTATTTTAACAGATAACTTGCAATGCAGTCAAAGTAATGTTAATAAAAAATATACAGCATATAGTTCAGACAAAACATAATCTATCAAAAACACGTTCATAAAAATTACATGTAAAATAGTGTGTTGCCATGTGCAGTCTATCCGTTAATTAACAATTCACAATCACTTTAATGTAATCATAATAACAGAGACTATGTGCTATACCAAGTCACAGGGAAGAGCATAAAACATATGTAATGACAGAAATATTTCCTGAGTAAATAACCATGTGTCATTTAAACCATACAGTTATGAATGTCTAGGTACTCATTGACATGACTTGCATTTAACATTCCTATCTGTAGTTTAAGGATAGTGCAAGTATTAGACTATCATCATCACATCCAGCATACTAGTTTCAAAGTTTTATGTCTTAAAAAGACGTATTTCATCAAAGCCATGAGTGTAAGCTTACTGAAGTGATTAAACAAATAATAATTTATTAAACAATGCTCATTCTCTAGTATTTGACACATATTTATGCAATGGACACTAATCCATCAAAATGCTTAAAATTATAATGGATAATGCAGCATTTTAAACATTTCTTATAATGCATCAGATGAACAATACCTTTCTTAGCCTTGCAACCATGACTTTAAACTTGTATTACATACCAGTTGTTTCATATGTTTACTCTACTCCTTTTTAGATTGTATGTAAGATGTGGGAGTCTGTGTTGTGTAAGATGTTACATGCAGTGTTGGTAGTTTTATATGTCGTATTGCATTTTTGTTTTGTGAACATTTTTTTAAAATCAAATAGCCCTTATTAACTTGTGAATGTGATGATGATGTTGGAGTATGGAATGTTTTTGGGTGATAGGATTTGCCTCGTTTAAAATTATAGTGAGAAGGCTCACTATAAATTCTCTGATGAAATTGTAACCATAGTTTGGTTACGTTGTAAGCTGAAATACCTTTCTTGCAGGAATAATTCTGAAACAATTACAAAGGTCTATTTTGGTTTACTTGTGAATATAAAGTGATTGGTTGATTAGTTGAAATGATTTAAATGTTTATATTAAGATGCAATGTACATTTTTCTTAGGACACTGTACCATGTTCTAAGTTATTTTTTACTCCCCTTGGTTAAATTAGACTACAGAATTGTGTTTTTGAATGTATTGAATACTTTTATAGTCCATAACTATAAAGATGTTGAGTACATGATGAAAAATAATTTTATGATTGGTTGATGATTTTAAAAAGACAAAGTTTACAAACCTTAATGGAAATATTCTGTGGTATGAAACAAAATGTTTGGTTTAGTTTAGTCAGTTATGTTTCTAAATGATACTATTGTTTTTAAAATTTTAGTTGCTAAAATATATTTCCAAAGTACAACAGCCTAAATTAATAAATCAAGCTTTAATATTGGTTTCCTCAACTATTTACACAGGGTTCTCAAAAAGTTCTTGCTGTAGGCCGTCTTTTTTTTTTATTAACATGTTAGTATTGTTCTTTGGACAGAGGGATGTTTGACATTGTATGATAAGCACGTGTTATAACATCTGGAATTTTCTCTGAAATTTTAAAACATTTTGAGCTGTTAAATAAATAGGAAGTTAGGTCACAGTAGATTATTTCTACTTTTTGAGTCTGTTACAGTAGATCATTGATTATTAAGTCTATTATCAAGTTATGTTTAGTCTAAAATAGGGACATAATGTAATTAATTAGCTTATTTCTGTGTTATTTGTGTTTGTGATGATCAAAGTATCAAAACTATGAGAAAGTGCTATACGTATAAGAGAGAATTAGCAAGAAAGATAAATTGTTGTATTAGCATCTTCTGTAAAGTGGGCTTATCAGTGAACATTAGTTATGCTAACTAGTAGAGCTTATAGTACAAGAAATAAAAACTTTTATTATCACTAAGTAGAATGGACCTTGCATTGTTAGAATATAAGAACCAGCCCATCAGTAGATACCATACAACAATATTATTGCTTTACAATGGATAGTATTAATTTTATTTATCATTAAACATGTGTAAAGATTTTATAAGAACACTATATTGTATATTTTCACATCAATAATATATATACAACAAACAGTCTTTTACCCTCATTAATATAGGTCTAGGTGTAATTATCTTTTTTATATCTTTATTTGTTCTCAAATGTGATTATTTTTCAAAATCCATATTTGTTAGCTACCTTTATAACAAAGTGCTTAACCTTAAGTGAAACCTTGGAGAACATTACACTTTTTTTACGTTTACTCTTCACACACACAGAATTGAGTGAAAACAATACCTCACTAGAGAGTGGGTGTATTTATAACATTTTACATACAAGGGGCCTGTTATTCAAATATGAGCTTTCCTTTTTCATCCCTCAGAGATCATTCTCCCATTCTAAGATTTGGGTTATCCTTAAAATGTGTTTAGAAAATATCTTGCTGTTAATTTTTACATTTTCATCCAACCTTTTCTTATATATACCCTTTTTGATTTCATAATTTACTGTTTCAACAACTCTTTGATATTCTTATAATCATTTGAATCTCCCATCATACAGCCAATTTAAACTTCTTAAATTTGTAATACTTTTTTTTTATATTTTATTCCATATACCCTTTGTGAACTAACCTGGATTTTTATATAAGGAATATGTCTTGTCTTGAATATCAAAAATTTTATTTAAGATTTTTTCACATTTGATTAGTATCTCCAATTAATTTCATTATTCAATTCACAACTGGTATTTTTTGTCAAATCCCTTCAAAATTTGTTTTCTTGAAATTTGTAACCAATTTTCATTATTCCTGATGTCCATATGCATTAAAGCATCAAATCTAATAGAGCAATGATCACTTGCACCCAGATACTCCCAAATCAGCACCCACTCAACTACTCCTGTAATTAGAAGTTAACAAATTTAAAATAGCATTATATCTAGTAGGTGAAGAAAACCATCCTGAATGGTTTATAACCATGGCTGAGTCTAACATTTTTCAATATTTTTGTCAAAATTAAAATCACCTATAAACATGGTCTTATTAACAAGTGAATTCTTTATCTCCAGTAGAGCTTCTCATTAATGCCAGTAGTTTCATTTGATGAGCTGTAATAAATTCAACTAAATACCTTCATTTCTTATATCCACTATCAGAAACCCAAACAGATTCTACCTCCTTGCTGTTCTTTGATATCCTCAATTCACATTTTACATATAAAGTGACTCCTCTCCTCTTTTTAGTATTCTATCTCTTTTAAAGAAACTATAATACTATAACCCAATATTTCAAAGAAATTCCTATCATCAAAATTGTCTACATTTAACTAGGTTTCACCTATTCCACTTACATAAAATCCTCTTTTCCGATCCGGTGCTCTAAAGTCATTTATTTTATTTCTAATACTTCTAGCGTTACAAAATAAAAGCTTAGCCTACCATTAAAACTACTTTTGTACTTTGTTCCTAGTCTATGCTTTTCTCTACATCTTCTTTTTTTATTATTATTCTGGCACTCGTCTAGTCCTAGTTTAAAGTTGCCCTTACAAACAAACCAGCCCATTCCCTATTTAAATGGTAACCATCTGTTTTAAAAAGGATCCATTTTCTTATCAGACTGATCCCAAAAGTCTAACCAGCCAATCTACTTGTCCTTATATATTAACCTAACCTTAGCATTCAGTTTCAGTTAAGTACTTATAATTTCATACCCACAATTAAGTTTTGGCTCTTTTATTTAAATATCTTTTATCAACCTCCTCTACTTCTCGATCAATTCCTCTGACCTACCCTTTCATAAATATTTAGCTCCTGTATGCTCAAGAAGGCTGCACCACTGCTGACACTCTTCAATATATTACTTATTCTGTCAGCTATATCCTTCACCCATGCCCCAAGATAGCATAATCTAATTTTGTTCCATAGTTGCTCTAAATGACAATCCTATATTTGTGCCATATCAAAGAATTACCTATAACTATAACCTCATATTTTTCATTCTCAAACTTATCTGTCCCTTTTTATTTTCTTTCCCTCCCATAGTTCCTCATCTGTACATGCTAAAGGCTGTAATTTTTAACATTACTTAATACAATTAAATCCACTACTTCTAGCTAGCCCTATTTGTGCTATTTCTATAAGTGTGATTGTATATGTATGGACTAAATAGAAAAGGAGCTAAGTGTTAAAATATATATATGTTTAGAGCTAAACAGTAACTCATTATTCCTTATTAATAGAAACATTGGTTGTAACTTTTAGAAACCTGGATGCTGGTTTGTTCTTTAGAAAATTTACTTTTTTATTGATCATTCAATTCTAAAATGATATATCAACATTTTCATGGGATTTTTATCGGCATTTTTATTTAATATTTATGCTAAGTGTGAGTATTCTTGATGGGTTAAATGTTATTTACAGAAGTTATATTCTATTCTTGATAAATACATGTAATTTATCTAATCTTGTTTTTTGCTTTCTTTAATCTGATGTTTCAGGCTGATATCAGTGCTAGCTTTTTGCGAGCAGCCAGGGCAGGAAATCTAGAAAAGGTTTTAGAGTTTTTGAAGGGAAGTATTGACATCAATACCAGTAATGCTGTAAGTTGGCATCTTTTCATTAAGTTCAGTAAATTAGTAGTTTTTATTGTTATAGTTTTTACTGTAAATAAAGATATTGATGTGACTAAGATACACAAAACATGGTTAAACAGTCTTTTTTTCCTACAATTGAAAAATTGAAAGCACTAAGTAGATAATTGTTAGTCATACACATAGATATATATATGCTCACATACTTAAAAATATGATGTTGTGTTTTGGATATATTGAAATGTTTATGAGTTAGCAAATAATGCTTACATTTTCCTTACCTGAAAATTTATTTCCAATGGATAATTACCTCTCTGTTCACAGTAGCTATTTCTTGCACACCTGCTGTTGAGGTTTTGTGCATACCACTAGCCTTGAACTATAGGGCAATAACCAGACTGTATTGTGTGGAATGTGTTCTGTTGTACTAGTTAATGACCATACCTACAGGGATGGGGTCTAAGGTGTCTTCCTCCCTACCAAGCAGAATACTACTTTGCCTAATTTGGCTAATCAAAATCACTTGGAAATTAACATACAATATAATAAGAGGTGACCTGCACTACAATGACATGGAAACTCCTGCCCTACCTTCCATCATATTGTGCTGCCCACTCGGACTCTTTCCAGAGGGATCACACAACCAATGAGGAACTCTCCAAGTTAACCACCCCCAGTGGCTAGGAACTGGGAAAGGCAAGGGTCTCTTGTGCTCCACTTGAAGACCAAGGGATTCACAGTGATTAGAATCTGAGGGGGGACCAGAACTGATCAGAAGTAACCACTGCAAAGGATTTTTACAGAAGAAATTGTAATAGGTTACCACAAAACCTATTTTGAAAAGCTGGGATGTGGGAGGCAAGAAAGTGGGTAGGCACTCCCCCAGTGTTGCCTTTTTCCATGGTAGTCCATGAAAGGCATGGGAATGGACATATATGGATATATATACCACCATATTTGTTCTATGGAAACCCTCATCTCAATAGTGTGCATCTAGGAACCAATGCAAGCGGGCTTAGCGCTTTCTGTTACCTCTAACTCAATAGAGATTTAAGGAAGTAATATACCCTGTGAGGCAACATCTATTACTGGTTGTTTCTGAGATGGAGATGAGACAATTATTAAAAGTGGGTAAAGAGATATATGAGTTACTTACCACATTAAAATTGGCAAGTAGACTGAAGAATGGCAACTGAAGGGAGAAGTCTAGATATAGATGAAATGCCAGATGAAGAAAGTATGTTGAGTATTGTTCACATCCCTGTCTGTAAGATTTTGTCCGGTGTTTGCCAATGGAGCAAAACCAGAGAGTGAGTCAAGGGATGATTCTGATGAGAAGTGATGTGATTGAGTCTGTGAGTATCATCCTCAAGGGAAGAACAAGTGAACTGGATGAAGTTCTGAATCCAACCAGTAAGTGTAGTGGACTAAAGATCTCTGGATGAGGAAGGATCATACAGCAAGTATAGGTAAATAGAGGCATTTAGGAAAGGGAGCCATGTTTGTCAAGTAACACCTGAACTAGGCACAAAAATAACCTGGGTAAAAACTATCATTGTGGTCAGAAAACTATGAAAAAGAAATTGGAGGAAAGGACGTGTCTCCCTCTCAAGTCATTCATATAGGGAAGGGAACAGCAGTCAGGGAAAAGAAAAGTAAGATTTGAGGAACAAGAGTACAGGAGGCATTTTAGGCATAAATATCAGAATAGTGCAACCTCAAGCCAGAAGATTAAGGAAAGGTTACAGGATGAAAAAGTGGCCAAGGGTTCAAATTGGATCTGGGTGAGAGTGTATAAAACTACAGGAAGGTCACAACCAAGCAAATGAACTGAATGAAGAGAAAAAAGAAAGAAGGAAGAACTGTAACAAAGAAGAAAAACAGAACCATGACAAAAAGGCAAAAGATGTAGATTGACAACCTCTGGTCAAACAGCATGACAAAGAAGTCCAAATGGTGGACAACAGAATATAGCTGAGGAGCAGAGAGTGTCAGATGGACCTGTGGTGATAAAAATGGCAGTTGCATTGGGGAACAGAGAGAGTGGAAGGAAAGATCTAGTGGAACAAAAGAAGAGCAACACAATATGAGAAACTGTGTTTTGAGTAAGGAATGAACAACTCCACACATAAAGGCTAAGGTACAACACTCCTGGATGAAAGGCTAATATAAAAGGTTGGAGCATGAAGAACCTTGATGATGGAAGAAGAGGTGCCTAAAATGGCAATTGGTAGAGAAGAGGGAACCAAGACAGAGCTGTTCAGTAAGGAGCTACTAACAGGACTCAACAAGGATTGTTGTGGAACATTGCCAAGACATGTGGGGGAATGCAGATAGCAGGGAACACATACAAAAAAGAAGATACCAATACAGGCTATCTGTGTCCACAGCTAGAACAGGTGGTTGTAGAATTGAAGACTAAAGTAGCTAAGGTAACCACACACTCCATGACTTATAGATGAAATGGCGTGAAGAGAAAAGTTTTTTGAGATGGATCAAATATAGAGTCAGAGTCGAGAACAATCAAGAAAATAAGCCCAGCCATTTCAAATGAACAACCTGTAAGAGGAAAAGGAATATGGCCCTAAAAGTGGTCTACCAAGTAGAAGCAAAAATAGCCAAACATCCAGAAAGGAATGAAAACAAAGCTGAGCCTGAGGATGTGGCAAGCAAAGCCTTCATTACCTGGATGAAGACATTAGACATAAAAGCCATGCCAAAGGGTACAGAGTGAAACTGGTAAAGCATATCATGGTGGACAAACTGAAGGAAATGCCATGATGATGGGGCTGTTGGAAGAAAGGCATTTGAGACGTGAACCATCTTCATGCAAAGGCCAGGGAAAAAAAAAAACTATGAAGAGAAAGAAACCCCATCATCAGAAACTGAGGAGTCATCAGAAGTGACTCAGAGTAAAAGTATGATGAGGGGATGTCAGTCCCCAGTGTTCATTAGGATTATGAAGAGACAGGAACAGTAACCCAAAGAGGTGCAAGTCACTCTATGGCATTCAAAACTAAGAACACCAAGATGGTGGAAGTGTTGAGGATTGGAAGGTGGAGGAAAATCAATGAGGAAAGAGAAGTGAAGAGAGAGACAGTAGATAAGAACTTGAGTAACCCAATGGTCAACCACTAAGGGAACCCACAGTTTAACAAAGAAGTAAAGAAGTGCCCCCATAGGACCCGAGCTAAATGTGTACAAAGATAAGTAGTCATTGGTGTGATAGACAAAAGCTAACTCTCCAGGAGGGGGGAACAGCGAGAGAAGGTAGAGGGGTGGGGAGTCAAAATGTGAAAGGATGAGGATACATGAGCCAAGAAACATGAGGGAATGCACAGGAATGGGCAAGAGGGGAAACTAAAGAAGTGAGAGAAGACTGATGACAATGATCTTCTGCCTGTGGCAAATGAGTGTAGTTAGATAAAAGTCACATAGGGAGGATTAAGGAAGGTAAGTGATAGAGAAAGTGGTGACATGTTTGAACAGATCTTAACTACACAGGAACCATGTAATGAAAGAGAGAGCCAAAGACAAGGCCTTGGACCAACTACGGAAAATTTCTGACCAGAGATACCCCCAAAAAACTATCTGAATCACACTGGAGAATCTCAGATAGGAGATAAGGGGAAAATGGATAGCTAAGGATAAAGCAAAGAGAAGATATTCTGAAATACTAGAGACAAAGGGTCAACACCTCAGCAGGCAGAAAGGATTCGAGGGATTGATGATCCAAGAAAGCAGAAGGGGAGTGACCATAACCATGTTAAAGGAATCATGGCAATGAAGAGGATGAGGTGTGGAAGAGTGGGAATTATGCTGAGGCAAAAAGAATAAAACTAGAGCATGGAAGCATGGAATAAAGATTGTGAAGAAACACAGAACATAGGAGAAAGGGAAAGAGAGATAGAGAGAGATCGTTTTTTCCTCAACAGAGACCAGTGAGGCCAGATCAAAACCAGCCAGCATAAATAACTGGACAAAAATGTTAACATCATAATTTGGCTCAGTAATGGAGGATGCACAGGAAGTAGAACTGGGAAGGAAGGCAAAATCCATGAAATGATAAAAACTGGTGGTAACATCTTCCACAAACAAAGAACCTCCACCAGTCATAAACAATTGTAGAAGTTCTAAGGAGTTTTAAGACATTAAGTTGTATGTATCTCGAGTTATTAGAGGAAATTAACTAGTCTTATTCCAGATGAAATTTGAGCTTCATGAACAGAGCTAGAACCTTGTGAGGACAAAGCCATAGAAACATGAGAGTTCATAGTGTACAACTGCTATGATGCTTTATTTTATTAATATATGCAACAACACTTTTGTACAGGTTTGTGGAAGTAGGAGAACTATAGAAGAAAGACTCATGGTTTGGCAAAGTAATTAGATTATGGGCCTAGAAAGTTGAGTTTAGAAACATACAGAAACCACTTAATGCATGAAAATGTTTGAAGTACAGGCAGGTGTATATAGAATAATTTCCATGAGCAGGATGGAAAACAAAATTAAAGGTAACCCTAACACAGCTTGTACTTTACCACTGTTCAGAGATGAACAGAAGTGATAAATGAAACTATAAGTCTCACAAAATTCAAAAATGAAGAACAGGCATGCACTGAAAGAGAAAATAGTCAGAGAAACAGTAACTATAATTTTAAAGATTACTACATCAAATCAGTTACAAAAGTTGCACAGAATCTCAGATTGAAGAGCAGAATTAAATGCATCTGTTAACAGCAGTGCAGGGTTTAAGAATGACATTCATCTTGAGTGCAAGTGCTCATGGGGATCTAGTGTGCAGGGAGGATATGTTGCCATCCTATTGGTAGAGGGCTATTGCCACATGATGATTACATTTTTGTTTTGTAGATTGATCATATATTTAGTTTTGATACTATTTGTTTAACATTTAACATATTGTAACTGTTTATTGTAGGGGTAAATAATTACCTTAAATATATTGTCTTCACTATCTTATTAAACAACTAAAAGATGCCAGGGAGGTAAATAACTGTGTAATATTCTAACATCATTCTGTATCTTAAAGTTTATGGAGGATGCAGTATAAGGTTATTATTGGATATATATTTCAATTAAACTTCAAACTATCAAGTGAATCTATAAAAGTAATATGCTTAGTATTAAATATTCATGGTTTTTCCTATAGTGATGTTACCATCCTAAGTAGTTTAATAACCACAGAATTGGTCTTCTTTAATCATAGAATACAGTTATTATTTCAGTTTTTCACTGTTGCATCTACACATAATTTGCTTATTTCTCTTTCTCAGAATGGGTTAAATGCATTGCACCTTGCCTCTAAGGAAGGTCATGTGAACATTGTTAGTGAGCTGCTAAAGCGAGGAGCCAATGTCAATGCTGCTACAAAAGTATGTTAACTTATTGAAATAAATGTAGTGATAAATCTTGTGAAAAATGTGTTTACATGAAGGCCATTTTTTTTAAGTATTTCTTTTCTTAAATATTTTTCTTACAAAGTTAAAATGGAATAACCTCAAAAAGACATAAAAAATGTATAGGGAAAAAATAACACTCCTATAATTAATTTACATAAAGAAAGAGGACAGTTTTAAGTGGTCTTGCCACTAAAATTAAACTATTTATTATATGAGAATATAATGTGTTTCAGAAACATGTTATTAAAAATACAGTGACAGTCTAAATGTTGTATCGTTTATCTGTTTACTATACCTAGAATAGACAGAGATCTTTTTGCATCTTTTTTTCAGTTGATACAACTGCATTTTTTATTAAACCAAGTATTTAGCAAACTTCATTCCATACTATTTCCAAACAAGAGAAAATTGTCAATAATTACCAATAACTTCTAATCAAAGTAAGCTAACTGTATAGACTAGAAGTAAAATGCAATGTAACTTTTTAATTCAATGAAGCTAATCCTGCATAAAATACTGACTAGAAGTATATAATGTCATAAATTAAAACACAAAGAAAACTAAAACTTATACTCATTAGAATGCATTTATTCATTCTGTTCGATACAATATTTTATTTTTTTATAATCCATCTGTAGAAGAGAAGTAATCATATCTTATTAATTTATTCATTAGAACAACCGATATAACCCTATTTGAACAATTTAATATTACTCTTGAAATAAAATATTTGGTGTCCATGAAAAATATTTTGAAAATTTCTAAACTGTATCAGTAATTTTAAATGAAGTCAACAGATATAAATTGATTGTAAGTAAAAACATTTTTTGTAATTTTTCCTGGAGGGAAACAATTTTAATATTATATTATTTTTGAATGAATAGATTTTATATTTCTTCCTTGTTTAATGATAAAAGATGTATATATGTGTTTTCTTGTGTTTTAAGTACATGTAATGTTGACAGTAAATTTGTTTTTAGTAATTTGCATAATATATTTGTTGCATTTAAAAAATTGAATGTTATAGTGGAAGTATTTAATGGGAAAATTTTTCTAATTTTTTAATTACTAACACTATTTAATAGTCTTTATTCTACATGTATATTTAGTTGATGCCTATGTGATACATAATCGATAATAAAACTCAAAGGTTTTATTGTGTGATAAACTAATTTGATAGTTTTTACATGCTTACACATTCCATATCTTAATCTCATACTTTCTGGCTTCTAAGAAGTTTTTTCTTTTCTGTTGAGAAAATCATTTACCACTTTTGGATAACAATACCTTTGCCAGATGTAATTTGCAGACGTGGCAGCCAAACATATCTGATATGCCAATGACAAACTAAAATAGCTGTGTGTACATATGAGTCACTTTAAATGTGTTATCAAATAAAAACTTTTGCAGTTCTAAGTTTTTAGATTTTTCTCTTGCAGGAAGAATGTTGTGCTAGTTAAGAAATGGTCTGAATGTATTAATTCCCATGATCTTCCTCGGTGTATCACATTTTTACAACATATTTAAACATTATTAGGAATCTTTTTAAGACGAGATATCTGTAGAGGGTCCAATAAAATGCATGTTTGTGTCACCTGACTTCTTGCCACTGAGGCGTATCCTCTGGGATTTTATAGATCCCTGTACAATGTATCATAATCAGGAATGTAGCTTAAAGAAGAATATTAAATATACCTGGAGACCTTAGAAGGGGTTTTAGCTATTTTTATATTTATCATATTAATGCAAGCTATACCCAAGAAGAGTGGAAGTTTCAATACATGCTTGTATAAGGTAGTTGAATTGTTGGAAAATATGTGATTCACTGTTTCTGGATTACCTTTCATATTACAAGTAAAAGTTACTTATAATAATCTTTGTTTTTCAATTATTACCAACAATTTGTGGTTGTGTATCCTATAGAAAGGGAATACAGCTCTACACATAGCCTCCCTAGCAGGCCAGGAAGCAGTAGTAAAACTTCTGGTGCAGAGTGGGGCTAATGTGAATGTTCAGTCTCAGAATGGCTTCACTCCCCTTTACATGGCTGCCCAAGAAAACCATCACAGTGTTGTTTGCTTCTTACTCACCAGTGGTGCAAATCAGAGCCTTGCAACAGAGGTGTGTGAAACAATTTTTTTTTTCTTGTAAAAGTCTTTTGTGGATGATTTCTTAATTATGATGACATACATTTAGGTTACTCATTGCAATAGAATATTGATGATAAAAAATATAAAAAATTGGTTAGAATACTTGAACCAGTTAAAGAACAGTGTCAATAGTTCCATTCTAAAGATATATGTATAGCAAAGAGAAATAGCTAAAGTCCATCTATTTTCTACACCCATAATTCTCTATAAAGCCTTCAAAAATGTGGTAATTCAAGAATAAACCTAGTTCACAGTCACTTTATCCCTGCAAGAACAAGAGGTTCATGAATCTAACTTGCAAAAGGACAGGTGAAAAAAAAAGAGACAAGCCATGGTGATGAGGTCAAAACCAAAATAAAAATCTTATTTTAGAAAATTAATTCTGTTGTTACTGACCATTGGTAGTTGTAGGACTGTTACAAATATAGCCAGTTAAATGTAAATAAATGAAGAGAGTTAAACTGCATTTAAATGGAGAAAACAGAATAAAGCAGCACTGGATGTTTTATGACCAGATGGACTGCACTTGACATAATGCAATGTATACCAAAGGGCTTCCCCCAGATGTTTTTCTGTGGTGTCCAACAGTATTGAAAGAGCTGAGAGATTATCATAATACTTTCTTCAAAAGTCGCTATCAGTATTGAAACAATATCAGTTAAATGATTATGTTTTGAGTTGTAGAATAATTTGTTTTATATATACAGAAACAAATATATTGAACTGGATTGGTTATTTGAAATAACAAAGTTATTGAAATATTTGAGGTTAATTAACTATGTGGCATATACCTTGTTAGCTTGCTCAATTTTTTTATTATAAAGGATTTGGATAGGGACTAGTTATAGTAAATTTTAGTTTTTGGAAATGGTGAATTTTTATGTGGTTTTAATTATTCCTAATATTTCCATAACAAGATCAAAATCATTTTTATTCTTTAGGATGGTTTTACTCCACTTGCAGTATCTCTTCAGCAAGGTCATGACAAAGTTGTGACAGTACTACTTGAGAATGATGCCAAGGGAAGAGTTCGTCTTCCAGCCCTCCACATTGCTGCTAAAAAAGATGACTGCAAAGCAGCTGCATTACTTCTTCAAAATGATCACAATCCAGATGTGACTTCAAAGGTATTGTATTTTTATTTGGTTAGATGTCATACAGTACCTGTTCAAACATATAACATGTTAAACAGTGTAGAACTGACTTAAGTTCTTTTAGGATTAGAGATATTTCAGCATTTTTATTAAACCATCCAATAAAAGTTTGCATCTCATTGTCTGTGAGTGTTTTTATCTTTGTATGTTGCCCTTATTAGGAAATGTTTCATCCAGAGAACTTCCTAATGTGCATCACACAAGTATTGTTATATAAGTTATACACTCGATAAATTATCCTGTTAAAACTAATTTTCTGATCTGAGTTGAGAATTGGTTTGTAATTTTGCTACTAGAACTTCTTTGCAATACCTTTGTTATATACATAAATTCAAACCAGTCATAAATTAGTATCAAAAACTGGATGCCAACAGATGGCCTAATTAAATCTACATTAAAAGTTTGAAAGGATTGAGCTAGCATGATCAACAGATAAAGAGAAGATGTAAAAGTGAAACATTTACTTATTTGGTGTCATAGTCATTACAGAATATAAATTTGTGTAAAACGAAAAATTCCAAATTTTTCATCTTTTTGTGTATAACTGTAATAGAATAATATATTCATTCATATTTGATAGTGTACAAATATAAATTCAATAAAACTTTAATGTTGTTTCAAGTTGCATGACAGTTCATATACATTTTCAGTTGCACTGCTGCTGTTATTTGAAGAGAGAAAATTTGCTAGTAAAAGCTCATAATATTTGAATGATGTCTATATAACATACAGAAGAAATTGTATTGAATACCTAATTATTTTCATACACTGATTGAAATTTTTACTTTTTTGTTCAGAAATATTTGTATTGACTGTTTGCTGTTATGTGACATTTATATCAACATTTTAACAGTATTTTACATTTCAAAAAACAATCCTTCATATGTTACACCAGGTATTAAAAGTTCTAAAATTTGAATTTACTTAAAATTTTCAGAGTGGTTTCACACCACTTCATATTGCTGCTCATTACGGTAATGACAATATTGGACGTCTTCTACTTGAGAAAGGTGCCAAGGTTAATTATGTTGCCAAGGTATTATGAATCATATATATGTATTTGGATATACATACTTTATTTATTAATAGATGGAATCTCACAAACCTTCTTATACTGAAATCATAGACTAATTTTCTGTGAAATATCTAATATGTAGCACACTAATGCATGTTGAATTATAAGCTTGAAAGATTTTTTATTAGAACAAATATATTTAGCTTGAAAATATATGTCAGTGGAAATAAATACAAAAACCATTATTTTTCTATATAAACTATATATGTGTGAGTGTTTTTGTGCATATAAATGTGTTTATTGCTTCATATTAAAATATAATTGAAGTTACCTGCTTGGAACTTGAGTCAGATAACATAATAGAAGTATCATTGGATTCAGAGCACTAATGTGAGTCAAGTTGCAAGGGATTCATTTCAAGTTTCGGAAGATTTCCTAAAAATCCTGAACTGTTATATATGAGAGTTATTAATGAATCTCTTTAAAATGATATTTGCTATATTAGTGAGAGCTTTATAACTGATAAATATATCATGAAAACAAATAGAAAGTAGCCTTAGCTCAGATTATTAATTAAAATATTAACAGAAACGTATAAAAAAATTCACACAATTTTTGTGGTATTTTTTATCCTTTAGAACAATAAGTGTAGTGTATATGTAATTTTAGGTTGGGTAAGGCTAGCCTCTTTGCATTAGCAAGTATAATGTTAACTTTCTAAGATGTCTTTATAAGAAATTGAATAACATAACACTGTTAAGATAAAGTTTCACCTCTGTAAAGTATGTGCAATAATTGTTGATGGTAAGGGTAGTAAAAATATAAAAATATTATGTTAAGAATATTAGCTTAGAAAATCCCTTTCTCCTTTTCTGTGTTTCAGCATCAAATAACTCCCCTCCATGTAGCATCAAAATGGGGTAAATCAAATATGGTGATATTACTTATAGAAAAAGGGGCCCAAATTGATGCCCTCACCAAGGTAGGATAATATTTTATCATAATAACATTTTCTCTTATTTGTTCAATTACAGAATTTCCTTTTAAATTATGAGCCTTATGAATTTTCATCAAATCACTTATAATTAGCTTGTTACACAATTACTTAATACAAATGTTTTATACTGCCTACATATATGAAATAAAAACAAACTATAATTATGGAGGAAAACAGCTTCCAAGAAGATACAGATTAGAACTTTTCGTTTTGTAATGTATAATTCTTTAAGCTTAAACTTAACTATTAGGGTAAGGTAAATAATGTGATGTTTACAGTACGGATGTGTGTGACACACATACCATACATTGTTTAACAGCAACACATTTAAATAGTAAAATTTGAAAACAAATTACAACAATTCATGTCTAATATAAATTTAAGAAGTTATAGATTAATTCAAATAAACATTTCACAGAATAAAGACTCATAAAGTTATGTGTAACAAATTATCAAATACAGTTCATGTTCATGCCCATAGTTGGTCCACTCTTAATCTTTCTTATCATTAGAGTTTCCATTAATGTCTCTTGTAATCAAGGTTCTTTTCCAAATGTAGGAGGTAACTGAGTTTCATTCCATTACATGGGCTTTCATATTATTCTCAGCATGGTTGATAACAGCTGATTTGAAAAAAAAAAGCAATAATAATAAAAATAATAAGCAGTAAATGTCAATATTAGACATAATAATAGTGTATTAAGATAATTTTTTGGTTCAGAATATTGATATTTTATACTTACATTGCAAAGCTAGGTTGAAATGGGTGGTTTTATAAAATTTAAGTAGAGTGAATATTTATGAAGTATTTATATGGCTACTCTATGCCCCCCAATGGCATAGCACTATGTCTACGGACTTACAATGCTGGAAACCAAGTTTTGAAACCCGTGGTAGGCAGAGCACAGATAGCCCATTGTGTAGCTTTGTGCATAATTTCAAACAAACAAACAAGCTAGTCAATGTTTGAGTTGTTAAATAAGAAACACTTTCTTATATTATGAATAAACTATAAGATAGCAAAAATATTTTCATAATACTTATTCTGCCTTTTGGTAATATATAATTAGTTATTAAAACTTAACAAAGTTTGCTTAGCAAGGTTTAAATTGCTAGAGGAATGCTGGATTTCTACCAGTCTTATATTTTGCACATACAGTTGTGGCCACTATAATTCAATAAAAGTAATTTAGTTCAATTACAAGTATTTATAAACATTTATCTAAAACACAGTGTAATATAAGTACAATATTATAAAAACAATTGTATTATATTAAGAACACTTGTTGAGTTCTCTCATCTTTGCGAGGAGATTAATTGAGTACTCAGCAGGAAAGCCATAGACAGTTTGAAATGTTAGTTTCTTTTAACATAGGACTCATAGTCACTTCTTTCTGTTGAAAATAGAAATATCAAAAGAGACATTTCTTTTTTTTTTGACTAAAGATGTTTTATAATTCCAGTTGCCCAGATGTTCAATTTGAATATTTTAGCTACAAAATAATTTTAAGGTTTTTTTTTTATGGTTTATCTTTCAAAGTATTAATGTTTTCATTCAATTTCCTAAATTGTAAAAATATTGGAAATTTTGTGTTTGTAGTTATCAGTTAAATCAGAATCCATTATTTCATAATATGAAAATATGAGGTACTGTGTTCTAACTTCTTGTTTGTATAAATGTTGGAGGTATCCCATACTCTACAAAATTTTAAAAATTCAGAAAACAGCTATAATGGAATAGAAAAAATATATAAAAGTTAAAAACAATGTTCACCACTGTTAACATGGCATCATCAAAATATGTATTCAATGTAGTCCAAAAGCTTGTTGCCTTGGAGAAGTATAATAATTATATTTCACTTTATCTGCCTCAGATTAATGTAAGAGTACAAAATATGAATGTGAACAGTATGCAGGTATGGCACACAAAGGACCCATAAGTTTTGATACTGTAAGTTCATTATCTACTCAGACAAGAATTAAGTGTGAAGCAACTAGTTTTTAGGTTGCCTTGCAGACAATTATTGTATTGATCAGAGATGGGAAATATTTTGAAACTCTAACTTTAAACATAATAAATAAAATCTGATCATTGATAGAAATTCTTTATAATTTTAATATTTTAGAAAAGTTTCATTGTATTTGTTGTTCTAATTTTTTGTTTGTTCTAATTCCTTGTTGAGACTTGATAGCTAAAAACATCTTTATTTTTTTTATTTCCAAAAATATGATTCTTTCTAACAGAATTGTCGTAAAAATTATTTATCATTTAGTTTATCTCAATGGTTGTTTTATTTGACTTGATTAGTTTTAATTCCTGCATGGTGGTAAGTTTCAGGGAATTTGATGCCAAAACTTCATGGTTTGATCTCTGTGTTGGACACAGCACAGATAGCTCATTGTGTGGCTTGTCACTAAAATAGTCAATATATGTTACTTTTATAGTTCAGAAAAATTAGTCATTACACATACTTAATGATTTTTCTATACTATAGATATATTGTGGAGCAATTTGCAAAATTTTAATTCTTTTCATTTTGTAGGATGGTCTAACACCGTTACATTGTGCTGCTCGCAGTGGCCATGATCATGTTGTAGATTTATTGCTTGAAAGAGGTGCTCCAGTTACAGCAAAAACAAAGGTTAAGTAAAATTTGTGTGAACAAAATATTTATTTAAAGTTTAAAATTTATGTACAATACATAATGAAATTTCTTATATTAAAATGTTATGTAGCTGATAAAAGTTTTCTGTTATAACACTGTCAGATAAGAGATTCGTTGTAATTAATAAAATATTTGGGCACATCTCCATATTTGAAGTTTGTGTATTGCTTTATAATAAATAGTTGAAAGCTTTTAATAGATGAAACATTAATATTAGACAAATATTTATTTGTTTTTTTGTCTAATGTTAGATTTAGTATTGTTAAAAAATAGAAAAGTGAACACTTTAAGGAATACAAAATATTTTCTTTATCACAATAAAAACATTTTAATTTTTGCCAATTCTAGTACTTCTGCAGTTTGGGGACAGGACTGAGAGGGAACATAAAATGGTTTTGCATTTATATAGAAAAATGTTGGAATACTAAAATACTTGAAAATTCAAAGGACCAGTTTAGAATACTTTTTTTCTTGAAAAAGAGTTATACATATTTGCTCAGTTGAATGCTTAGGGTAACTTTTATTTACTTATTGTTCCAGAATGGGCTTGCTCCTCTTCACATGGCATCTCAAGCTGATAATGTAGATTGTGCTAGAACTTTGTTGTATCATAAGGCTCCAGTTGATGATGTCACAATCGTAAGTAGAAAGTCTTACAAGAGCTATTTACATATATTAATATTGCAACGATCATCAGCTCTGTTTATGTTTGACGCAGAAGTACAGGAAATTTGATTTAAATAGTTTTTAATGAGTTATTGTAAAAATGATATGGAGCTCTTTCCTCAAAGTACTTAATTTCAAACCATTAAAGGTATAATGCTGTAGGCTTCAAATTACTATATTGTGTGATGTAAGCTTATTCAGAATTATTGTGTTGTTGCTTAAATATTTTACTGCTGTAGTTCAGAGAAGAAAAGAGAAGGCTAGTGAGTTTTTTAGAGATTAATGGATGATTGGACTAATGATATCACAAAAAAACCCATATAGTATTCAATACATCTCATATAAATTTTTTCTGTTTTGTTTTTTGTTGCTGATCATACCATCAGTACAAATCTAAAATGTGTATATTGTTTGATAATTCAAAATGTTACAGGAAAATTATAAAAAGAGTACATTGACACTGCAAACAAAAACATAATGAAGTAGAGAATTTTAAAATCAAGGCAATCCAAAAGTAAGTTGCCATGGAGCAGTATAGAAATATTTTAAAGTTTTATTTGTTTCAGGTATTTGAATAGTTCATAAACATGACACACAGATCAATAAAAGGTAAACAATTTTTGGTGCTATATTAACTCTCTCACTATGGACTTGGTCAGTTCATCCAAAAAATTGACCTTTATAGTCCCCATACTATAACCTCTAATACATTTTGTGTATCTTCACAAAATTTTGGAAGGTTTCAGTAATCATTAACAGTCTTTTGTAGGCAAAAAAAAATAAAAATTAGGATTTTTAATGGAATGTTTCACTAAAAAATATCTCCTTGAATATATGGAGCAAAAGTGTTGACTCCTTCAAGTGCAAAGTGATTTTCATGTTAAGATTAAGTATACTTTTCTTCCTCTGAAAAATCTTAAATTTCAATTGCTTAAGCTCTAAAACCTCCTAAATAATTTTCTTCAATAAAACAATATTTTTCATTTGATATATTCTTTACCCTAACTCTATAATAGGATGGTCAATTTGACCAATCTCATAACCGTTGAAAAAAAAAGTGAAATAAATCTAAATTACCATGTTTTACTTTCTAAAATGACTTCAAATTGTAACATGAAACTACATTTATTTATTCTAAATAGCTTTAAATGCATAACACATGTTTGCAAATAAGTTTATTGTTTTATTGCTCTTTGAACTATGTTTAACTAATATTCTCACCACACAAGTTGAATATCAGTTGATGAATGTGTAGCTCATGAATTACCTAGTGCACAGGCTACTCACGAGTGTACCTTGTGAAAATGTTTTTATTATTATTCTTTACTTTACCTGATCTAATATCTAACTCAAGAAGTTTCTAGGTTTGTGGAGTTTTGGAATCCTTGTCACTTCTCAGTTCCTAGCTGCTGGGGTAGTGAACCATGAAGGCTTCCTTATGAGTGTAGAACATACATCATAACATTAAATATCAGTCCACTACAATGAGAAGAGGACAAAGCTGGGAACCCTCCTTCCTTCTACCTCCTGAAGGTTTAATTCAAGGTGTGCTGATGTTGATGGGAGCTGGAGCAGACAATACTGTATCCTCCTCATAATACTAGGTTCAAGTAGATAATGCCCTGTTCCTATGGTTGAAATGAGTATATGCCCCATTCTCAGTAATTCCAGTTGCACGATGTTTCATTTCTCTGCTCCTATGGTTGAGCTTGGGGGATTTCATCAGCTTCGTAGTACTGGTTGTGGAACATATGATGCCCTGTGCCTATGGTTGAGCAGGCATTCCACATCTTCCTTATAAAGCCAGATGCACAGTGTTTCTTCCCTGCTCTTACGTTTGAGTTAGATTCGTTATTTTCCTGCTCGTAATACCAGGTACAGCATCATTCTCTGTTCTTATGGTTGAGTTGAAGCTTAGTAACAGCCCCGTAAGTCCAAGTTTGGTTTGTTGTACTTTCTGTCACCTATGGTTGGTTTGGAATTTTGTCTGGCATATGCCTTTTGCTTACTTTCTCATCCTAATTCCAGTCGCTTGCAGTATAGCATTATGTTTACTTACTGGAGGGGTTGGTGTATTTATTACTAATGTTCTGCTTGCCCTGGCCATCATGCACTGTACGAGGCCTGTGAGAAA